GGCTACTCTGCTGACCACAAGATTCAAATCACTGACTTTCTGATCACGGCCACAGAGGCCTGACCCCCACAACCCGCTCAGACGCACACCACTTATAAGAAGCCAATTAGAGAAACTTTGACACACTTCCCATTTTCACTTCCCACTGGGTTAAATTAGCCCATGTTTAACGGTAATCAACTGCACTGCTCATCCCCATTCAAACCAGATGACTGTGCAAGGCCACCGAGGTTTAGGGGGCCCCCTGCTGGCCACTTGCATTACACTAGATATTAAGTAATCATGTTTCTGATGTAGGAGATGCCGAATCAGCACGTGTTGCTAACCATCTAGTCAGGTCTTCTGACTCTACACGCTAACTATTCATTTAGTTTTTGATGCATCTGGAGGTGGGAGGTGGGAGGGGTTTGAGTCGGGCCCCAGGAAGAAAAAGAAAAAATGGATCCTGGTTGTAATGTCATTTCTGCCGTGAGAGACATCAGCGTGTGTGTTTATTCACGTGTGCGATGAGTTCACCGGTGTGATTCCGGCTTCCTTTCAGGTACCCCCACGCCGCGCCTGGGGGGTGCAGCGACAGCCCCGTGGACCCTGATCGCCTTCACGCTCCTGGTGTCCACGCTCTGGCGTGAGGCGGCGTTCTGAGGGGGGTCCGCCATGCCATGGGGCCACCGATCCCAAAGAGACTGTCATGGATCTCAGAAGCAGTTTGTTGGCGAGCAGCATTCAGCGGCGATCCTCTCGCGGCTCCTCATTCTGCTGTGAGACCTGTGGATAAGGGGCCACTTCTTCTTACCTAAAAATGAAACATGCAGCCTGGAGACATTCTCTACCACTGCTGTAGCCACTTCCTCCTGTAGGCAGCACTGAGCACTGTAACTGCACATAAATGTATGCTTAAGCCTTAAAGTCATTTCTCTATGGTAAAGTGTGCTTGGGCAGCTCAACTGTGCACTTTCTCTGAATGTCCGCTTGGCCTTGAAGCCTCCTGCTGCCACCAGCGGGAAGGAGGGGCTGGATGTCCGAGCCGGCCCACGTGTCGGCAAGTAAAAGGTCTTCAGATTTTCTATTTCTTATTTTGTTGTCAGTGTTTCTGTTAGATTCACTAAAGCCCCTCAGTAAATGCACACATACTCTACTGTGGGACATGTGTGGTTGTATGTGGCTGTTTTACTGCTAGTCATACATTTCCATCACTTAGCTAGCTGTCTAGCCAAGTAGCTACCGAACTATAACTAGGTTATCTGATAATATAACCTTCATGAAGTTAACAAGACATAACACTTTATAACCTAAAGACTTTGTGCGTCATCATATATTACCGTGTCTGCTTTTTTAACAAACGGCATGCCTGACCGGCTCGCGAGGTGACGTACCGTAGGCTGGGACGGATGTGGCGCGGGTTGGACGTCCAACCGCGCCTTGCCGCAGGATGTAGCAGGTTGGCTTGCTCAGCGAGTGGGTGAATAAACGATAGTCAGGTATACAAAATGCACATTATGCTAGACTGACGGAATGAAGGGGCATGCTGACGTTGAGGTGTTCGATCGCCATGAGCGTTTATTTACCTTTTCGCCGTATATTGTTCGACCTCAGCTTTATCAAGCTTGCACTGCTCTTCAGTGAAACCATCTCCATATTGACAGCTTTATCTTAATGGTATAATCAGTAACGCTACACATAAGGAAAAATAAATCACTTTTATTTTTGAAGATCTGTTGTAGTCCGTATATTTTAAGAAAATTGTGTTTTACAAACCAGTACAGAAAGTTTTATCTTCATGCTGAAATTATTTTTGTGATTACACTGTACGGGACTTTTGTTGAATTTTAATATTTACCAGTGTGATAGACCTTTGTGAAAATAAAGCATTCTAAAGAATAAAATCACGACGTTTCGCTTTGGATTAATTAAGCAGCAACGTGTTTATTTCACATGAGGATGCAGGGTTGCCAACTTTGGTGAGCTTGCTGGAGTGAGATTTTCAATTCGAGACAAGTCTGCACACATATTTACTTGTATACAACAGTTTTATTACCTTTCAACTAGTCTTTACGCTTTGCAAACTACCCCTAATTTTAGGTTCTTAATGGACTAATACAGACTCACCGTAAGATCTCTTGCGTGGATGTGAGTGTCACCCCACATGCGTGTGAATTGGCAGCGCTGCGGGGGGACGCCCTTCGCTTCCGGGGACGTCCGGAGGGAGGCGGGTGTCAGCCGCCGTTCTGCGCGGCAGCTAGGGAGGCTCAAGCACCGGCCCCTCGTTACTTGTTATGGGAAGGAACCAGTTTTAATGTGGGTTACTGCATGTCACTGTAGGTCCTGGAGCATACATGCCTAGCCGCCACGGTATCGGGCAGTTTAACGAGCCGCCATGGCGATTGCGCAGGTCGCCACCGAGTACATGTTCTCCGACTTTCTGCTGAAGGATCAGACCGAGTCCAAATACAAAGGCGTGCGGACGGAGCTGGCCGCCGACAAGCTGGTGACCTGCATCGCCGTGGGGCTGCCGCTGCTGCTCATCTCGCTGGCTTTCGCGCAGGAGGTGTCGGTGGGTGAGTAACCAGGAGCCCGGCGGGTCGGGGAGGAGCTGCGCTCACGAACACGGTTACATTTATTTGTAATAATTAAGGGAACCCCGAGGTATTCCCTCGCTGTAATGCACGTTTGGCCGGCGTGGTAACCGCGATCCGCGCATTGTTCAGGCGGCGCTGCACACGGGGCTGGGAGCCTCCTGCGCTTTTTGTTAGTCTCTTCCTCATTTGTTGTTCGTATTTTAAATATGGTGTATACGACCCGAGGCCTCCCTGTTTTCATATACTCGGGTTATTTCTGGCTCGTGCCCGCGGGTCCGGAGCAGCACCTTAACACGTGGTGTTGAGTGCGGGCAGAGGAGCATATTGCATTAATAAGTACAATGAAACGCCGGCATACACGGCATATAACGATAAAGAACAATAAACGGCAAATAACAGCATGGTGAACAAAAAGATACATGCGACACACGTATATATAATATACAAGCAAACGATGAGGTACGTAGTAAAATTACGAGTTTGGAAACACCCCCCTCCCTCCGTGATTTGTTTTCTACCGACCAGATACTTACCCAGGTAGTAAAATAACTAGTATAACCTCCCCTGCATTCATGTCTGGCTACGGGCCTGCACTGTATACAACCAGAACATGCAGTAACACAGTAGGACATCAATGTGCTGGGGTTAGTGGTTAATGAATGACGGTGGTGGCTGGGATCGTACTGGGGGTTATCGGTGTGCACGTGACATTATTATTACTGTCGGGAAGATGAGGTTCCTAACCCTTAATTCTGGGTCCCGATGGACCTGGAGGGGAGGGGGAGGAACATGACTGTCCTTTTTGTGGTGGTATTTCTACAAGCCGCTCCTTTTGTTTGTATGTGAGTGTTTTAGCTGTGCTGCGTGTTTATTTCAAGGGGCCGGCACTGAGCCGCGTAGTTGGCGGATCCTGACCCGGGATAGGGGCTGCCATAGGCCCTGTTCACACCTGGTATTAACATGCGTCTTGGGTGATTCGATCACAGGTGGACAGGGCTGATTACAGGTGTGAACTCCAGTGTGTCCCGGGCCGCCTGCTCAACTGACGTCCTCCTGTGGGCGTATGTACGTACAAACTCATTAGACGCCCGAAAGGTATTTGACGTGTGATTTATGTCAGAAATACTTGGGCCACTGGTGCAGTAAACTGCATTGTGAATAACAGCGCATCTTTTTTCTACAAAACTAAAAAATAAGTTTGAATTTGCTGGGATGTTGGTTTAATATCGGACTGTCGCGACCAATTGGCATGGAAACATTGTCAAAAGTGAGCTTCATTAATATTAGTATTGTGTAAGAGGTGATTTATTAAAGGTGTTTTGGAATTTGCACAGATCGTGTTTAATGCGAGCTTTGATGAAGCTTTCTTATTTATGTAAAATCTGCTCCACGATTTATTAATATTGGTGAACCGTGTCGGTAAAAATTAAATGAACGTAAAATGAAATCGTGTAGAAAAGAGTGTGCGTTCAATATCCTAGATAATGGATATGCCAGCAGAAACATATAAGAACAGAGTAATTGTTTAGATTGTTTTATATTGAGCTGTCTGGGGGCTTGAACTCCCGGTCAGAGATTCAGTCCCACTCCGGCCCTGACTACTTTGCTCCTTGTACTTCACTTGCTTTAAGTCAGACATAATTCAGCGTCAGAAAAAACAATGAACCTCTTCGTTGAATTTTTACAAATTTTGAGCTTCGTTGTTTATGAGTAATAGCTGAAATATTATCACATGGCAACCAACATAATGCATCACAGACTGAACCCTTTGCCCTTGAATAGAAAAGTATTAACCTAAGTACTGAAAGACCTTAACACCTTTATTTGTATTGTGTTGAGGCGGTATAAACATGCATGCCTACAACGTGAAAACGTTACTGTGGAATATAGGTTGAATTGTTTAAGAAATCACATTTACATTATGTGAAATAATATTTTACAATATCGGCTGTGGAATGAAAAACACGTTATTACGCAATACAATTTAGAGATTATACATAGACAATAAACGTTATTAAGAAATATAATTCCCTTTATGGAATTACTTAAAAAATAAAAGGACATATTAATTATTGAAATATTTATTCATTTATTTATTTATAGATATTTTTTTTTTATTTCATTTTGAATATTATGGCGTTCCATACAAACATTTTAGGCGGTTTCTTTACCCTGAAATGCGCGAATAGCTTTTGGTTTCTTCTCCTGCTTTTCATGTTCGGCAGATTCTGCATGCCGAAGTGATTTACATGCTTATTTAAATACGTTGCGGGAGAGTGAGATCCAATTGAAGGCGGTCCGTCGCGACCCATGCGGAGACGCATGTTAATTCCTGGTGTGAATAAGTCAGAATTTGTGAGAAATGCGGGAGCCTCATTCATTATCCCGAGGTACGCGCCCCCACCAGACTCCCCGGAGCTCCTCATAATCCCCGCCCCCCGGACAGCCACAGCGTCATTGTGTTGGACGCAGCCTCGATGTTTTTTGAGGTCGCTGTTTATCAAATGCTCATGACCGCCATGCTAATTTAATTATGTTCTCGGCGAGAAGAGAACATCGGATGACAAAGCAGACTCTCCCATGATTTCTAAATAAACACAGTTAGTCTGGGTCGCACATCTCAATTAGTGCCGCATCTGGGGCCCAAGTCCTGGCGGTTTGCTTATCTGTTGGAAATCAGTGTGTGGCTGTGGTGTGTGTGTGTGACTGTGACCCGTGATGTGTGTGTGTGTGACTGTGACCTGGTGTGTGTGTGTGACTGTGACTGTGACCTGTGGTGTGTGTGTGACTGTGACCTGTGGTGTGTGTGTGTGACTGTGACTGTGACCTGTGGTGTGTGTGTGTGACTGTGACTGTGACCTGTGGTGTGTGTGTGTGACTGTGACCTGTGGTGTGTGTGACTGTGACTGTGACTGTGATATCTGTGGTGTGTCTTTCCAGGGTGCTGCAAAAGCACAAAGTCTGCAGTGTCATGTCAAAACGAAACTAATCCTGAAACGTCACAGCATTGCAGCAGCCGTCCCCCAAAGCCCTGGGGAGGCTTTTTCACAGAGCGGCGTGTTTGAACTGACCTGCGTTTTCCACAGTGTTACACCAAAAGGGCAAACTTTACTTAGGCGAATATCAGTGACGGTGAAAATTCTGCAGTAGTGTATGTGCTGATACGAGAAAAGATCCCCCGTTCCTCTTTCTCTAGAAACTGCCTTGTAGGGGCAAAAACACTCTGTGAGCGACGTTCCACACAAGACCAGGCAGGTAGAACCTATACCCCAGGGAACTCTGGGAGGAGGAGGTGGGGCATGTTGTCTTCTGGGTTCATGGTTACTGTTGGCTAGGAGGCGCTGACCCTAGAGCGTGTTTTTGTGTCTTGAGGAGTTTGGTGCCCCTGCGGTTGGTGGCGTCGTGATCCAGACTGATGCAGATTTGGGGCTGCGGCGTGACTGTAGTTACTGAGCGAAAGTGGTGATTTCAGCAAAGCCACCAAGGGCCGAAGCAGAGTGGAGCAGGTCACTGTGGCGTGACGCCCCGGCTTAACGCTTCAGGCTCCTCGCATAGCCGAGGGCCCGACCCCCTCACCGCCCTGGAAGGACGTCTTCATTAAAGTCACAAGATTTGCTAGAGCTTAATTATATGTGCTGGATGCACTAATATTTTTCTAAAAAAAGGGGCAGCTTGTGTGTGTAAATAAGACATGATTTACTTAATTACACAGCTGTTGTGTAATTATCACACTTTAAAAAAAAAAAAAAAAAAAAAGATCAGCCTTTGTCCTTAAGCAGGCTGGCTTGCTGCTGACCCATTTCAGCCAGTTATGTTGTTTTTCCTCAACAGGCACGCAGATCAGCTGCTTCCCCCCCACCAACTTCACATGGCCCCAGGGGGGGTTCGTCAATTCCTTCTGCTGGGCATCAGTGCAGCGACAGAGCCTGGTCACCGAGAAGGGACGGGTCCCTCTATGGCTGCACAAGGTGAGCCCGGGGTCGCCCCCCCCCCTTCTGGACCCCTTTTGCCGTCCCCTGTACATTATGAATGTCCCCCTGCTTTCGTGTCTCTCTTTTCCCAAACATCTGAGTGTAAGTGGCAGCCAATGATCTAGAAAGATGTGGGAACATCTAGTCACACAACTGATATGTGTGCTGCTGGGTTCATAGCAGCTAACAGCTATAATTTGTCAGACAAATTGGGGCTTTGCTGTGATGACCAGCAGGCGCGGTAATTACCCAGCGCTTGTGTGGCTGCACAGGACAGCATTCAGCCCACACCTGAGAAATTACTCTCTCCATTCATCAGGGAGAATGAAAACACCCGCATTTATTCAGCACTTAGAAGTGAACGTGCGAGGAATGGTTTGTAAAAACAGGATCTTGTTTTGTGTGCCATTATTTGTACTTCACCAGCTATTAAAAATTCTCTGAGCATGCATATAGTTTAACTTTTCATACATTTTGCTATGTCTATAAAACCATGTAGCTGATGCAGGGATTGTTTGTGTCTGGGAATGGGATGGCGGTGGAAGGGGGGCTACAGTCAGCCGAAAGTGGGAGGGGCTAGCACACACAGACTGCTGGGTAATGGGTGGGGGGTGCGTGATGGCAGTCTTCCAGACGTGAGGACAGGCAGTATTAGTGCTGGTGGCTGCTCTGAGTTTCTTTACACAGGACCTAATGCTCTGTAATTGAGTTTCCCATAACTGCAGCTGACTCATTGTGTCTGTGTGTGTGGATATTGGGATTTACATGCATTAAATTGAAAAGTAAATTTAGTAAATCAAGACAGACGTTCCTTCCATGGTGGACGCCTGCCTAGGATAGATACTGTGACCCTGACTAGGATATATGGATGGATGGATGGAGGGAGGGAGGGAGTTGGGATGGAAGTGCAGTGCTAGGCTGTTTTATTTACCTGTCCATACATAACCCCATGTGACCACGCTCGACCCGGGTTCCACCTTGTGTGACCCCATCCGCCCGCCAGCCTCACCACTCTGCGCTGGATTTTAAACCCAAATGCAATGCAGTAAATCCACCCTACGTATGACTGACATTCACAGAAGTGAGTCACTGCATGTTAAATATCCATGTATAAAATCCGCTGTTTTCTACGGAAGATACAAAGTTAAAGCTAACATTGTGTATTGTCTAGAGGATTGACGTTGCCTTTTTGTCCTGCCGTTCTCCATCTCCCTCATCACTGGAGGCTGTTTTATTAACGTGTCGGACTGTGGGTTTGACTCGTGATGTAGAAGCAGGGGCTTTGCTGTGGTACCCCTGAGAAATGTGGTAAAGCTACAGTAAAATGGTAAGAATAGTACGTGACTTAAGGCCTTAGGATGAGTCACATGTTTTGTTGCGGGGCTCTTTGGTGTTGTCGCCATCTTTAGCCACTAGGTGGCAGCAGGGAGCTTAGCGGTTCGGCTTGCGCCTCTAAGACACTCTGCAGTATTGAAGAATGCAGGGATATGACATGTGAGGAGGGCAGCTGGCAGGCAGCGGTCACACCCTCACAGTGGCAGTAGTGAGCTTAAACCTCGCTTCCATACCTTTTATGGGTCTTTTTTTCTCTGTTTAGGTAGCGGTCTTACTGTGATTGGATACAATCTGGGAGCCGCACAGTGAGTGTGTATACAAATTGGCGTGGAATCAGGGGCAGCGCCAATGGCCGCTGAGAGCCTCTTAGCCTGGCATGTCATTAGCGGTCTGCCCGCTAATGATCACTCTGCTCCGGGGCTCCTAATGATCCGTTTTGCGCACCTCCTGACGTGACCTTTTCGTGGGCGTCTGGAGAGCGGCCTAATTGGACCTGACAGGCTCTCCTCGGGGGGCCGGGAGCAGATCCTCGTGTTAGGCAAGCGGCTGCTGCCGACCCTGAAGAAAGCGACACCCACCTGAGAGGGCATGGGCATGGGCATGGGGGGGGAGGCATGGGCATGGGGGGAATTCCTTCTCAGGGTCTCCACTATATATACCCCTGACCCCCTTCCACTGCCTGGTGCTTGGAAAGTCACATGATCTAAAGAAATGAACT